TGATACAAAATCGCTAGTATTTCAAGGTTATGTTGTTGACAGATGTCCAATCTTACGATATAATGTTTTACATCAGACAATTTTAACCATAGCTTGCTGGTGGCGCCGTCTTTTGTCAAACGGCGGAAACTTATTTGTACACCTAATAATTTAGAAAATATTAAATATTAAATCTAAAAAAATTCTTTAAAATACAATTATATTTCAAAAAATACAAAATTATTATATATTTGAAATAAATTATAATAAATTATAAAAAATTAATCAAACAAAATAACTTTTACAATTTTTTTGCAGGAGGAATTATAATAGCTCAAGCGATATGTCGTATCATCTGTCTCAAGATAAATATTATTAATTAATTAATTAAATAATTTTATGTAATTTTAAATAATTAATTAAATTATTTTATATATTCATTTTCTTCTTCTTCTTCTTAGGTCTCTGGTCTGTGTTATACCTCTCTCATACGCTTGTGGTACATAGAATTGCTTATTCAATTATCACAAGCAAATATAGGACTTACAATTTAAATTTACAATTTGCCGGTTTCGAATTTTTCGTGAGAGGTGTTTCTATGCGCAAGGACTCTCGAAAATACCGGCCTTTTCCGAGAGAGGATAAGAACATAAATATTTTGGTTCCTATCATGATCAAATCCGGGACCTCTGATATGATAGACCAGTGTTCTATTTGCCACGCTACGTTCGCGCTCTGATCTTTATGCATTTTGTTTTTCATAATTAAGATTATAGTAAGTAGATATTTTTCTCTAGCAATGAGAATTAAAGTAAATAGATACAGTAAATAGATGTTTATATCTAGCAATGTGCGTGCGTACGTGCGTGCGTGTGTGTGTGTGTGTGTATGAGGATTACCAGATAAAGCAGCACATGGAGAACATAAATTATTTGGTGCCTTGATCATCTCAGTACGCGTCATGCTTTTCCATGGATAATCATGTTTGTGCGTTGTGACGTCTTCCATCGGGCCTCTACCCAGCCACTGCTTATCACAGGGTGTTATTGGAGGATCTATTTTCACGCACCAATTGCCAAAATAGCTCATCTGGAAGAATAATCAGACATCAGTCAATGAGTTATTTTAAAAGTAAAATATTCACTTTATGCGTCGTTTCATCAGACATTGGTGCATCACTGTATATTAAATTATCTTCAGGACGAATGGGTTCGACAATGCTGCTAGGCCCTTCCCAATAAGAGAGACGATATGTTGTATTTTTATCCATCGGTACATTTGATTTCCAATAATACTAAAAAGGAAATTACAATAGAACTTTAATAGCAACAAATGAAAAAAAGGTATTTTTTTATAATTAACTTCATAATTAATTTCATTGTAATATATGTTAATCAAAAAATTATAATAACTATTAGAATATTCTTCATTAAATTTTTTTTAATCTACTTACCTGAACAGGTGCGAAAGATTTTGGTACTTCCGGCTGGATATATTTCTGTAAAAATTTTTTGTTCGCTCTTTAAATCAATAACATGCAACAACAAATAAATAAATAAATATAAAATTAAATATAAAGTAAAGTAAACATTAAAATACATCACTCACGTAACATGTGGATTGTGGTAAACAACAGCAGTAGCAATTGCAACATTCATCATGGCCCAGCTAAAATGTATTTATATTTCAGAAAAAGCAAATAACATGAATCGAGAATTAAGTAGAACATCAAATACAACTGTATTTAATAATTTTTTTTTTTGAGTATCATCAAAGTTTACCCGAATTTTATTTTTTGCTTCAATAATCGATTGCTGCGGCGTTGGTTTAGATCTACAGTGATAAATTAGTCAATATTTATTTTAAAAAGACACGTATGAGATTTGAATATGAAAAATATGCTTAGTATCAAAATCAAATGTCAACATTGTTATTGGGATGTCAGCTTACGGTTTAAAGGGACAGATCTCCATGATTCTTGAAACAGTTTGTGTTAATGCTGGTATCTCACTTCGAATATCACAAAAATATAGAAGGGAAATTTAATTAAATGTAATTTTTAAACGTTTTGTATAGTAACAAAAAAGTAAAATGGCCGAGTTGAGTGATGTTATTCATTATTACTTCGAGATATTGATATTAAGACTTTTCAATTTATAAAGAACAGATAAATTCGTTTTATTAAAATTTATTTATTTTTAACTTACTCGCATTTTAGACTTAGACAACCAAAATTAAAATCGTTTTAAAAAATAGAACACATACGCCAAACACATAAATAAAATGCAAATATTACATACATTCTTTCTAAAATGAAAAATTAATTTTCGTATATATATTAATAATTTAATTTTCATATATATATATATATAATAAACGGTTTAAACATGATTATTTCAAAAGTAATTTAAAAAATGAATATGAAATGAATGTATATTAACCAAGTGTCTCATTAACTAATAAAACTAAGTTATTAATCTTGAAAAAGCTTAATTGTAAAAAAATCTTAATTTTTACAAGGAGAAGCTTTAAAGCGGTCTTCATTGATTTCAATAAAACTTCATAGGATTACAAAATGTGTTCCCTTGTATAATTATTTGGACGTAGAACGTAGACGATCAACCATTTTTGAGATATTTCAATATTAAATCTGGTAGCAACAGTTTTCCTTTATAGTTTATTAAGATGTTTATATGTTACATCCAAACTCTGGTCATATGGATTAGTTTAGAAAAGAAAGGAATGAGAAGGATGGAATAGTGGAAGGATGTTAGAGAAACCCTTTGTCTCGCATGCATCCGCGTGGAAGAGGATGGAACAAGTCGACGTACTTAGATAATTTCGAAATATGGGTGAACGTCTCAAAAGGACGCTATGACTCCAGACGTGACCGGTTTCACCACTCACTACGAGAATTACAAAAATTGAAAAAAAGGGGGACAAAATTATTTCTAAACCAGCCTATGAATCAGCATCCTCATGTCTTTTTTTCGAAGGAAAGGGAATAAATAATTCGAAAATTTGATTGATAAAAAGAAAAATGATTATCGAGAAAAAGGAGCAAAGTTTGCAATATGAACAAAAAGAAAGGATCTATCAAATGTACAGAATCTATCAAATCGGAGATATATAGATAATAAAGGAGCGAGCATGATAAATAATCTATCGAACTTGAAGAAAGGAGATGGATGAAATTAATGTTAACAGGGAATAATGTAGAGGCTGAAAGGGGAATTGATTAAAAGGAAATAAACAAGAAATCAAGGTGTATTTTTCAATAAATAACGCGCATTGAGGTGACAAATTACTTTTCAAAGTGACTTGTGACTTTCTCAACTTTAGTGCTTTGTTAGTTATCGTTACAATTATAAAAAATTATAACATCATTATCAAATTGTTATAAAAAGTAACGGTAAAAAAGTAACAGCGCATGCGTTACTATATTTTCCTGAATATAAGTTACATTTTCAAATATAAAGTTAAGATCTTTTAAAATGTATCTCAAATGATATTGTTAAACTGTTACGTATAACATTATTATTTTGATAATTTACATATAAAATAATAAATATAATTTTATACTTTCGGCTATGAGCTTGCGGATTACAGATTGTACATCACTTAATTATAAATAATTGGTTAAAAAATTTCTTAAAAATTAAAATCTCTTTAGTTTTAGGAATTATTTAAAAATGTATAGCAATATATGTAAAAAATACATTTAGAATTTATTAATTAAATTGTACAATTGCTACCTTGCCCTGAATCATGTAAAAAACCAAATAGACAGTACGTACTTTATTAGTAAGATATCAGCCATTGTGATTTAGTTGTATAAGAACTATGTGATTCATTAAAAAACGCTGAAACGAATGATTAAACGCGAGAATAAGCCTTAACATCTAACCTAGCTTAATTTGATTTACGCGCGCATGATTTAGGTATTGTGTATTTAATTGTCCATTCGGAGCGAAGAATTATTAGCTTTTTTTACTTCAGTACAACACATATTGATACACTACTCATAAGATACCTATAAAAATAACAAGAGAAGAAAACTGATATAAACAACCGAACGGGTTCAAGTTAGCGTAAGACCAAATCGTTGCGTTATTTCCGGAGAATGAGTGGTTGCGACCGCAAGTAAAAGTGGTATGTCCGCTGCATCGAGATCTAGAGCGTTCGTCAAGCTGCTCACATTAGCATCAGACTCTTCCATAGACATCATCATTTCCGCTAAAGCTTCGCTTCTTAACCATAATTCTCTCAGTTTAGCCTCCAAAATCGCTATGCACTAAAATATTAGTTTGACAGATTTACTTATTTATAAAAATAATTTACAAAAAATAAAATTTGTTTAGGTAAAAGAGGGAAAAAGAAAGAGATTTAAATTGAATGAAAATTGACAAAAAACTCACATGGATAGGAGAGTGATATTTTCGCCATACATAGGCAAAGGATTCCAACATATTCGATACCAGACGTGACATTCCGACCGGTAATGGAGGACTTTGCCAAGGCGCATTATTTGATAAGATTCCGACGTGCCATGTGTCCAAGTCGGCTAGTACGCAGAGTGCTTCTGCAACCGGTTGATCGATCGTTGGAAATCGAGCGCTGGCCATAACTTCTTCACGCATACACGACCACCACTTCTCTTCTGATTCAATTTCGGAATCATCCTTCTCATCTTCTAGCTTCTTCCTTTTTCTCCTCTTCTTTTTTTTAGTTATACCTTGTAGCACCAAACCCCACGTATAACCTGTACTTAAAATATTAGTCTCGTCATTTGTAGTTTTATTTCGCATGAGAGTTTTCGTAAAACCCATTTCTCTAATTAATCCAGTTTTGACCTGTGAAATTTTCCTTGATCTGTAACAAAAAAATAGTCATTATTAAATCTAAGTGAGAAAATGAAAATAAAAACCAAAAAAAAAAACAAAATAACAAAATTATTTCGATATAAAGTGATCTCCCAATGAAGTGATGGCATTAAGATAGAAGACTTCTGTTTTGTATCTTAATTCTGTTAGTTAATTCAGACTAACTGTATCTGAAATTTAAAGATCTAGAGTTTTAAGTAAATTTTTAATTTCATAACTTTATTGCAAAAAAAAATTAATAAAGACTTCATTTTAATGGATGTTATATTGTATTTCGACAATATACTGACTGTGGCATTGGCAACTCCACGACGCTGTTGGCTTCCATCAAAGCCTCAAGGCTGTTGGATCGCGACAGTCTCATGGTTCTGCTACCTTCGGAGCTTCCACACGTGCGTAATACCTCCGTCGCATTCGTCGGCGTTTCCAACACTTGCTTGCTGCTGTCATAATCTTGCGAGGCAGCATATCCTTGACCATTGCACTTTAAACAAAAGCCTATGGACCTCGCACCCATACTGGACGTTGCTTCCGGAGGAGGCTGCATGCTCTTCGACGATTCAGGGAAGTTTCGCTGGATGATCTTTCTCAATACGCCCTCCGGAAGTTGTGCAGATGTACTAGGCAGTCTCGTAAAAGTGTAAGAACACTGACAATTGTTATTAAGACGCGGTCTTAACGATAACTTCGCGGGTTTGTCTTCCCCACCGAGAGTAAAGAAGACCTGCGATTCCTTAAATTCATCAATAAATCCACTGTTCGTATCAAGCGATAATTCGGGTCTGCTGTAGAACATTTTCAATGGATCCACATTATTCAGCTGTTGATGCAGCTCAATCTTTCCAGTCGCGAGACTCTCTTCAGTATCGTGCACACCCAACTTCTTCTCGAAGCTACGCAAAGGAAACTGCAGGAAATCTTGCGGCTGATATCCCTTTGATATGACATCCTCCTGCGATCCAATCTCGCTAACAATTATTTTCACTTCGTTCGACACTTTGAAATTTTTCTCGCTGTCTTTAGATCGATCCTCCTGCATCGACTCGTATTTTTCGCTTTTCTGATTTTCGCGTAATAAAAATTCCTTCGTTAGAAACTTAAGATCCAGCAGAGCCTCGGTCGATTTCATCATGAGCGTGTCAAGGCCGGATTTCATGGTGCCGCTACGCTTCAGAGGACTGACTGATCGCGAGAGCCTCGGTCGTTCCGCAGGATACCGTGGAGTGCATTGTGCGTTAATATCGTCGGTTCCGGTTTCGGACGATTGTGTCGACTTACGCGATGGTAAAACGCGCGACTCGCAGCTGCGAATCAAGGCGTTTCGATCGTTGAACGCACACGTCGATCTTTTGTTACTAAACAGATACGGTCGTTTATTGCGAGCCTGTTCCAGCATGTTCGTCGCTATTTGCACATCTTGTTGCGACGTGCAGCGGTATTCCTGGTATTTTCGTATCGTCCCACTGCGAATAAAATAAGATAGGAACGATAAAACAGAATTAATCAAATCACTTTTTCGAGGATCGCCTGCAATTACGGTATGCGCTACTTTCACAGGGTTGCCTAGTGCGCCGTACAGGTCGCCAAGTTGGGCCCACAATGGATTGCAAGAGTACCAGCTACCTAATTTCTCGATCTGAAAATAGAGATAAATTATCACGATGATCTCTATGAATTCTCGTATAAAGTAAATAATATTAGCAACTGTATATTGACATATTAAAGACCTCTATTGGAAACGAACTTCTTTTTTCCCAATTACGACTTTAAAAATATTGAGAAAATTGCGATGTAATTGTGATAGTCGTAATCAGGAAAATCATTTGAAGGAGCATTTTTCTTGGAAAAAAGGTAAAATAAAAATTCATTTTAATCTCACTTAATTTGCATTATAGTGCAATGTTAAGGTGATAAATTTATATTTATTATAATGTTTTAAGAATCAAATTGTAAAATCTAGTTGTACACGTGCCTTCACATAGCTTCATAAAAAAAGAAACCGAAAAGATCTCATGGTGAAATATTGTTTCTGCAAGACAAAATATAGTTTTGATTATATTTATGCCATAAATAAATAACAGATTATTTTA